GCTTCACTGTGTAGTGAATGACAAGGGGAAGATGTGATTGATCGTGCAGCTCTATGTAGTCTTTTACGAGTAACGCACTGAGATTTGGATTGCCCAAGTTGAAGCACGCTGCTGGCAGTGAAACAAGAACCTGATGGAGGAACAGCCGCCTCCAGACGCTCTTGGTTTTCCTCAAAATCAGCCAGTTCCATGCCTCTGGCTGGCTGTCCGCGCAGCCGCCGCTCAACGTCTGTCTGTCTTTACAGGTCGCTCGCTGCAAACAGCTCATCTGCGACCCCAGCTACGTCTCGGACCGCGTAACGAAGGTCGGCCAAGTGATTCGGGTAATCTGCATCTTGAGCCACCCGATCAAGAATACAAACGATGCCAACTCGTGCCAGATCATCATTCCACAGAATCAGGTCAACCGAAAATCAGGTGTGTGGAGAGTGGGCACTGCTGGGGCGTGCACAGGTCTCATCGTATTTGGGTTGAGGCAGAGTGGGCGTTAAACAACTTCGCACCAAACACGTGCTCCGATGGTCCGGTGAGATGTCAATCAAACAGGAAAATGCGCTTCCTGCGGCAGATTTCATATCCTTGTCCAGAAATCCTTTCGGCCCCAGCGAGGCTGTGCTTTAGTTTAGAGCAGCAGCAGGGGAGGCGGGAGAAGCCGGGGTGCCTGTGGTCAGAAAGCCGTTTGAGGAACCCACGGAAGAAAGTGCCCCAGCCCAGGAGAAGTGGGTGAGGAGCACGGGGTTGCTCTGGGAGGGGGGCGAGGGCTGCGTGTGGGAGGGGAATTGCTTCCTTTGCCCTTGAAGAGAGGGGTGGGCTGGCTGCTGGGGGCCCTGCTGGCTTTCAGGAGCTGTCAGACTGAACTTTGGAGATCTCATGGGGCTGCTTGTGTCCAGGCTCCTCGGCCAGGAGACTGAGAGCACGTAGGGCTGCAGGGCAAGGATGGAACTCATTCACGCGTGGTCTTAAACAAGACAAGGAGGTACGAAGCATCAGGGGAGCAGGAAGAGGCGCCCGAGCGTACAAGCTAGAGGTGGCTTTTGGGACGAGGCAGGCTTGACCCAGGCTGTTGGCTTGCCAGGCGCGTACTGACCTGCAGGTGTGATGCGTTTCCCCAGATATCTATGTCTGCATGATCTCCTCCGCACACAACGTGGCGGCGCAGGGCAAGTACATCGCCATTGCCAGCACCACGGTGGAAACCGCGGACCCAGAGAAGGAAATCAAGCCGGCCTTGGACCTCTTGGAACCCATTGAGCAGAAGTAAGCTCTCGAGGAGCCCTCTCTCCCCCTTCTCACCTCTGCGCTGTGAGCGCTCGGGCCCGAGGCATGAAGGCAGAGGGGATCTGAAGGCCATTTGGCTGCAAAGAGGTGTTGAAACCCTGAATTTCCTCTGCACCTTGACTGCTTATGTCCTGGGCAGAACGATGCCCCTGAATTCAGCCATTCTTACAGCCATACTGATGCTCAGCCATGCTCTAAAACCATTCTGAAGCGCCTTTTTTGTTTCATTTTGGTTTTTCCCCTCCTTCCAGGTTCGTTAGCATCAGTGACCTGTTCGCACCGACCGACTTGGGAACCGAGAGCCAGGTTAGTGAGCGCCGAGCTTGCGTTTGAGGGGGTGAGGCGAGAGGCTCGACGCTAACCTGCCGCTTCTCTTTCTAGATCTTCATTTCTCGCACCTACGATGCCACCACTCACTTTGAGACGACGTGCGATGACATCAAAGATATTTATAAGAGGATGATGGGATCAGAGTTTGACTTTGAAGAGATGAAACGCAAGAAAAACGATATCTATGGGGAGGAGGAGCAGCAGTAATGAGAGTCTCTAATTAGGAGAAGTTTAAATCGGCTAATATGAATATATAAGGAACTTAATGAACACTGTACGAAATTCAATATTGTAAGGCCTGCTTTTGTAATCCCATCTCTGAGAGATTGAAGAGTACTGCACTGGTAATGTTCCCCTTTTGGATATCATGTGTTAATTATTTCATTCTAGTAGGGCTGCTGTCCAGAATCTGGCAAATTACTGACTGATTTAACGACTAACCTCGTAAGCGAAAGGCAGACTGAACTTTTTTTTTTTTTTTGCAGACGTAGACGTTGGTGCAGATTTGAAATAACTCATTGACAGCTGTGTCTTACCTTGTATTTTTAATCATTTGTAAACATCCTTCACAATTATGTGCTTCTGGTGAGCTAGTAGATGTGACGGTTGTCACTCAAACCTGATATCAAGGAAAATAGAAACTGAGCACTCCATTATTGTGGACAGCATCCCTAAAGTCTCTCCCATCAATCTAACTCTGTGGCAAGTTGTATTATGGACAAAGCCCACATCTATTGTAGCAGCAAATGTTGGCTTAGTTCTGGGCACAGAACTTAACCTCCACTTAAGCTTCTAAAACTGTTTACATCGGTTGGGACACAGCTGTGCCTACAGCTCCTTTGTGTTTTAATCTTAATAAAATTGAGAGAACAAATTACAGAGCAGGCAAGATGTGGGAGTATTTTTCTGTACCCTGGTGGCTTCTCGGATGGACCAAACGGCACTGCGGTATCGATATGACAGAGCCTGTCCTCCTGTCTCCTGAAGGCTCCAAATGATTTCTGTACTGCGAAGTAAAGCCAAATTCTGGAAACCAGTCCTGTGCTCTGGTCTGATTCACTTCAGTTGTACGAGCAGCATCTCCTTCCTGAGATCCCCTGGATCTCTGCCCGCCAGGATTGACATGCGAGTGCTGCAGAGCATTTCCTCCTAGAAAAGGGGGGGGGCTCGGATTTTCCTTGGTTGGGCTTCCCAGGCCCTGCTGCTCCAGCTGCGCTCAGGGCTGCTTTTGGCAGGGGAGAAGGTGCCGCAGCACAAGGCCTGGTGCTGTGTCTCAAGCTGTCGGTACGCGCAAGCGTGCTGCTCCCTGCAGCCCCCCCCCGTAGTGCCTACATCCAGAAGTAGCACTTGCTTGAAGCGGTAATAAATAATTCTTCCTCTTAGGGCTCCTCTACAGGGCATCGAGATCGCTCTAAGAGATGCTCCTCTTTAGAGTGAGCCATAGTCATCCTCCGGCTCAGATCGTGCAGCCTGAAGCGATCCTGCTGTTGGGCGGCGGGTGTACGGCGAGGCGCAGGTCTTGTGTTTGTTTATACACGGCAATGCCAAGTGCCAGGAGAAAATGAAATGAGAAAAGGCCTTGGCCCAGCTTTCTCGGGCACTCCGCTGCCGTGCTCCCTTCCCGCCGCTCTCGTGGTGCTGCTGCTGAAGAGGAACTGGGTCTTTGCCCACATCTCGTTCACGCAGCGCGGCTGTGCTCAACCCGGCTGCAGCTGCCCCTTTCCTTCCTCCCTCCCCGGGGCTGGGGCTTTCGGCACTTCCTCTCCCTGGGCCACCGGTTCCAGGAGCCACCTCTCTGGGTGCCTGTATCACCAGAGCGAGGTGCGCGGTGGTGGCTGGGGAAGTTCTCCCTTGCCTTGGGCATCCTCTCTTGAGCTGCTTCAGTGCTCAACGTCAACAAGCTGAGCCTCTTCAAAGGCAGGAGGGACCTAATGCAGGTGGAGGAGAAGGTCCTTCCCCTAAATCCTTGTTACCCCTCTCTGCTGTAACCCGGGGCTTCCCCGGGCTCTCAGCAGACCTCTCCAGCTGGGAAGGAGGACGGTACGGAGCCCACAGCCCCGAGTCTCCACGAGCCCAACCACTGTTAGCGCCAAGCAGCCTTGCTCGCTCTTTCCTTCCTGTGTTACGGCCGAACAAGGCCGAGTTCTGACCGGCTGTGAGCTGGGAAAGCTGCTGTCCTCCGCCCCTGCCGAGAGGAGAGGCTGGGTGCCGAGCTGGAACCCCTCTCCAGCAAGCAGCGGTGTGTGAAACAATTTTTAGGTTTTATTAATCAAACTCTCTACAAAGTCATCCTGTACATAATGTTCTTGCATTCTTTTATTAAAAAAAAAAAAGGACACCCCTGTCCTTCACATCAGTAAGTAAGGTATCTTACAAAGGTCTTTAACGCGGCATCGTCTTCCCGGCGCGTGTTTGAGTTACCATAAATAAGGGCTTTTTTTGTTCCCCCGTCCTGTTCTCCGGCTCTTTACAAGACTTCCACGTGCCGGGATGCACTCGCGTCCCAGCAGCGAAACGGTACCAAGAGGCAACAGGGGCGACTTGAAATGTAGTGTAGAGCAGACGGCCGCAGGCTCAGCGCCGCGCGGGCGACGGTCCCCAACACCCGTTTGAATGTACACCCATCCCAGCGGCTAAAACGCGTGCGTCTTGTGTACAGTACGTACAGCAACAGCCACGTGGAAAATAGATTTATTGTCATGGACTCGTATCGCTCCTAACCTTCAAGTAAACGGCTTTTTAATTTATTTTCCTATTTCTGCCAATGTCAGCTGCACTAATCACTTGAAATAATAATTTAAAACTGTGTAATGTTAAAATGACCTCCGTCCTATATGCAACTCGATAGCAGGAAGGAAATCCCCAGGAGGATTTGCATTAACCATCTTTAAATAATTCCTATGTACAGAACTAGAGCCAACCTTCCCCCACCACGGCTCCTGTGTGCAGCACCCGAAACCCACTGGGATGGCGCGGCCGTCCCACAGAGGACCAGGACGCCCAAACCGGTGCCGCCGGGCCCGGGGAGGGG